AATCTTCATAAGATTTTTGAAGCTTTTCGACCGGTGTTTTTGTTAATGGTAATAATTGATTGATTGATTAAGTATACGTAATATAAGAATATACACACTAAAAGCATATGCAAATAAGACTTTGTGTCAGTATAATTAATTTAAACCGGTTCTAACCGGTTTTGGTTCTAACCGGTTCTAACCGAATTTGATCCGGCTTTTTCTTAACAAATAATGAAAGAAACAAACTTTGCGTTGTTCTTGTGAGCCAGCTAGTGAGAAGAAACAAGCTTCTGAACAACAATTGGGGTTTCTTCGATAAGTTCTTGGCCGCCATGATTACTAGTTTTTGTTGCTATTATTATTATTATTATTACAGTTACTATAATTATTATTGTTGTTATTAATATTACTATTATTATTTTTATTAATTGTGAGGACTGTATCGCAGAAATTTCAATTTTTTTCGTAACGTTTTTAAGAGTTAGGAGTTTTAAGAGTTTCAATTTTGTCATTCATAGAAATGTTGAGAGCATTCTTACCTATGAGTATAAGCTGCTAGCAGTAATTTTAAAAAGTAATTAAGAAGAGGTAGTAAGGGTAATTGTAAAGAGTATTACTTAATTACACAAAATAATTGTAAAGAGTATTACTTAATTACACAAAATAATTGCAAAGAGTATTACTTAATTTTACCAATTACACAAAATAATTGTAAAGAGTTGTAAAATTGTAAAATGCACCTAACTTATTGTAACAGAAACTGTAACAGTAAGTGTAATCAACTAGCAACTGCGTATGTAGTTGAGTATGTAATTGGGTAGTAATCACGATGTAGTTACGAAGTTACGTGCTTACTAATTAAGCAGATGTAATTGTAATAGAATCGTAATAGGAAATCCTCACAACTCATTCGCAAAATGCCAGTCTCTTATTGGACCATCGGATCTCCTTTTATATGTGAGTTGAGAATGGAAGAAGAACTGAATGAGAAAGAGAGAGTAAGTGAAGAATAAGGAGAGAGAAAGAGAGAGAGAGAGAGAGAGAGAGAGAGAGAGAGAGAGAAGGAGAGAGAACGGAATAAGAAAATGATAAAAGAGTACTGAAAAGATAGAGGAACGAGAAGACCGATAAGAGAGAGAGAGAGAGAGAGAGAGAGAGAAATTGGAAAAGTGAATAACGATATGGCAAATAAAAAGAAAGAACAACATATTAATAATAAGAAGAAGAAGAAAAAGAAGAAGAAAAAGAAGGAGAAAAGAAGAAAAAGAAGAAGAATAAGAGAAATACAAGGAACGAGAACAAGAGAGATGTTGAGAATGTAAAAAAAACGCGAACGGAAAGTTTAAAGCGTTATTCTGCCAATAGATGGCGGGTCGCCTGTTGATTTTTAGCGCCATTTCATGCAAATAAACACACATACACAAACAAACATACATGCCAACACACCTGCACATACAATACACACACAGATACAAACACAGACAGACAGACATACGTACGATAAAGTTAATTCGAATTGTTGATAGTAATGGGCACCTATAATTATGTGATTGGTTGTAGTTATCATACCAACCAACCAATCAACTATCCAGCCAACCAACATTCAACCAGTAGCACACCAACCGGCCAGCCAATCAGCGAACGAGCCCCATAAAACCAACGAATCACATTTCGAACAACGTGACTGGTTTTATTATAAGGAGGAAAAAACGAAAAATAAAAAATTAACACATTTATTATTATTATTATTGTCTTATTCTAGCACTGATAATATAAGTATAACATAGTTAAAACATTGAATTTAATATTAATAACAGAATTAACAAATACAATAATAGTAATAATAATAACAACAACAACAACAACAAAATCATCATCAAATTTCTCTTCTGAGTTGTTTGCAAGACTTCATCATACTACATGACTTCGTTGTCGACGGTTTAGAATAGAGGGGACAATTACCATTATTATTGTTATCATTATTGATGTTATTGTTGTTGTTGCTGTTGTTGTTGTTAGGACACGTGACCTGGCGGGTTTTTACGCCAATGCCGCACGTTCTGGAACACTTTTTGTTGATTTTGGGGTGGTGGTTAAGAAGATGAGGGTGACGATTGCTAATGATGATTGTGGGTATTAAATGATGATGATAATAATAATAATAATAATAATAGTAATAATAAAGTTGGTGGTTTAATGAAAGAATAAAAATAATAAAACCTCACCTCAGACCACAGCCCCGCCTCCCATCTGTCAGTCAATTTTGGACACGCCCCCTCACCAATGCAGAACTCCGAATCGACGGGTCTGCTCTTGAAATCGCACTCGGAATCGATAAGCGCCGAGACTATTCGGTTGGATGCCGAATATCGAACGCACATCACCGAACGTCTGCGAATCCCTCTCTCGCCTTTGCAAAGAATTCTGATATCATCATCATCATTTTCGTCATCATCATCAGTTGCGTTCGCGCCATTTTTCATTTTCGTTTTGGCACCTCTTTTTGTTGATGGAAAGATAGGAAAACATGGCTGCCACTGACCGGCCCACCACCTATGTTGGCGGGATTGATATGGCTGTTCCTTTATCCATTACCATTATTACTACCATGATTATTACTTTTAAAACAACAACAAACTACTACTACTGCTGCTGTTGCTACAACTACTACTACTACTACTACTACTACTGCTACTACAATTACTGCTACTACTACTACTACTAGCACTACTAACTCGGCGGGGCACAAGTAGAAATTACAGGCCCTATAAATGTCTTGAGGCTTGTGTGTCTCGACACAATTTTCCTCGCCCACTATGAGACCTTCACCCTCTTCCAAACAAACAACCTTTGAGTGTTGCGTGCCTGGAGCAATAATAATAATAACAAAAATTAACATAATTATAAGAATAATTATAATAATAATTATATTTATAATAATTTACTGCCATCTACAGACCGTTTCCGCATGTGGCGGTGCATGGCGACCAATCAAGATGCTGCCAGATGAGGTTAGGCCTTCTCTGATTGGGAGGGCCAGGGTTAGGGAGGGTATACCGCACTGTGATTGGTCGATTGGCCGACTGGTATATAACCTGTGTGAATGAATTATGCAAATGAAGTCAGGGTGATGATAATTTTAATGGAGATTATTGCTGAAGATGATATTCATTCATAATTAGTAATTATTATTAATGAAATAATAAATGTTTCCACCATACGGCAATGTAGAATGTTTGGTTGACAGGTCCAGGAATATCTAAGGTTTCTTTATTTCTTCTACGTTCGTATTTCATCACTGAATATTAATTATTATTTATTTATTTATTTATAAAAATAATAATTATTATTTATTTATATTTATATACATATTAGGTGTACGTAGACAAGCATGCTTACCAGTACCAAATACTTCGTATTGACTAGGCCATTGTATATGCCAATTACCATTCAACCAGTACCTGTTGCATTTAATAAGTGTGTATTTTATTTCTATAAGGTGGTATTATGTTTGTACTTCTCATCATCATCGTCATCATCGTCATTGTCATCATCATCATCATCGTCGTCTTTACCATCATATTAACCTTCCCTGATCATCTCTGATGGCCAAAAAATTATTATTATTATCATTATTATTATTATTATTATCATTATTATTATTATCATCATCATCATCATTATTATTATTTTCGTCATCTTCACTGATAAAGATGTGACTGGCCCCCAAAGGAACCCTCCCGACATCTACGTACCCCAAGTAGGCTGGTGAGGGTAATGATGTTGTTGTTGATGATGATGATGACGATGATGGAGATGATAATGATGATAGGGATGATGATGATGATGATGAAGATGTTATCATGATGATATAACTCAAACGAAGATTAATACAATAACAATTATTACTATTATTATTATTATTATTACTATTATTATTACGCACAGGTATTATTAGCAGCTATGTCCAAGCGTTCAACGACGGTGCGACAGCCGCTAGAGTCGCCACCACACACACCGCAAGCGTCATCTGTCTTGTTCGAGTCTAATCTCCAATCGCAACCCACCGCCTAAGTTTTATCATCATTATTATTATTCTTATTGTTGTTGTTTTTGTTTTTTGTTTTGTTGGTGTTCATCATCGTCATCATCACCACCACCACCATCATCATCATCATCATCATCACCACCACCACCACGGCTATCATCATCATCAAAACCTTGCAATCTCCTCCCACGCAGATATCTCGGCCACTCATCGTACACAAGGTACCATCCAGGACCTTATCACTCAACATGACGCTAAAGTACTGGCCAGCCGGTCGACAGTGTAACTGACATGGGTTTTCTGTCAAATTTGGCGGGAATAATAATAACAATAATAATATCATATCATATTAATAGAAATAAAAATAAAAAGAAACTCCCACCAGAATAATAAACAGGCACCCATTGGTAGAACCTTTCTTTGTATGGAACCTTGTTGAACGATGAACATTGATCTAATCTCATCGACAGTAACGAAGCAGGTGGTGATGACGATGACGACGATGATGATGACGGGCAATGATGGATGTTACAAATCTTGTACTGTTTCCTATCGCCCGTGCAATACTTACCACCATGAAGTGGCCTTCGTAGATTAGGAAACAAATTTGGATTAAAATTTTTTTTTGATATGTGGCCAGACTAAGTTTGAAAGCAAAGAGAACCTCATCTAGCAAGCACAAACAAATAATACATAATAAATCTCATATATTTATCTTAAATCTATTTATATTTTATTAATTTTTATATATATCTCATATATATATCTCTTTTGACAGGAACGCAGATTAAGTTTTTTAACTAATTTTTAATTAATTAATTTCATCCTAATTAACGCAATTATGTAATACCCAAAGACACATAAATTCTCCAAAAAAAACCCAATTTACTCGGGGTTATCGCACGCTCTGACCCGGACTTGAACTCCGACCTCACAGCTCCGGCTACATGAAGACCACTGGCCCCAACTACCCCATTCTCCGTGTCTTGGAGGGGTCAACTCTGTGATCTCAGTGCATTTACTTTTTAGACACCACTGTGTAATAACAATCATATGTGTATCTTTATAATTGTTATTATTATTGTTATAATAATAATAATTATTATAGTAATAATAATAATTATTATTATTATTATGGTTGCCTTATTATCGCCACACAATGTGCCCTCTGCGGCTGGTTCCATTTTAGTGAAGCAGTGATCCCCAAGTTGGCACCACAGCGTCCGGCAAATGTCCTACAAAGAAGAGGACATATCATTGTTGTTATTGACGTTGTTGTTGCTTTTGTTATTATTACTATTATTATTATTGCTGTTGTTGTTGCTGTTGCTGCTGCTGTTGTTGTTGTTGCGGTTATTGTTGTCGCAATGATTAAATCATCTTATTACCGTACATAAATCCGCATCGCCCTGTAAAACAACATAAAACAACAACTACTACTACTACCGCTACGGCTACTATAACTACTACCACTGCCACTACTACTACTACTACTACCAATAATAATAATAATAATAATAATAATAATAATAATAATAATAATAACAACAATAATAATAATAATAATAATAATAATAATAATAATAATAATAATAATGAACCAACGTCCGTCAGATTCTGACAACGGTCAGCTCGATTGCCGAATTGCAGTCTGCATTGTTGGTGTACATCGTACATGAAGCCAGGCAAGAGATGCAGTGCCCCTTCAACTTCGTCCACAAAATCATCTTTATTATTATTATTATTATTGTTATTATTATTATCATTATTATTATTGTTGTTGTTGTTGTTGCTGTTATTATTGTTGCGACAGAAATGTTGAAATGAATCAATTTTAAAACTAATTAACTCTGGCCGTACTCTCGCGATCCGAATAGTGAGCTTCTCAGATTAGTACTCTATCTATTGCATCTGACATTATGTTTTATTCCATTATTTTATTTTATTTTGTACTGCCATTTTCATTGTTTTTATTACTGAATAAAAAATTGTTCCTATTATTATTATGGTTTTTATTATTGTTGTTCTTATTATTATTATTATTTTTATTAGTTTTATTATAATTGTTTTTAATATTATTGTTGTTGTTGCTGTTGTTGTTTTTATTATTATTTGTTTTATTTTAAAGATTAATTCAAATGAAACCCGCGTAGATGGAACTACTCGCCTGAAGAAGATGCCCTTGACGGAAGGTTCATCAGGCATTGGCCCCACCCCCGCCTAATAATAGCAATAACAATAATAATAATAATAACAATCATAATAATAATCATAATAATAATAACAATCAAACAAGGACATTATAAAGGATAACCAACTCGAGGAATGCCGTGATGGATCGCCTGCTACACTCGGACCAGATGAACGGGCTGGTGCGTAAGTTCAATTTCGACGACATAACGCTGTGGAATGATGACGTCATCGATGACGACGATGATGAGGGCGATGAAGAAGATGACGAAAGAGGGGACGATGCTGGTGACGATGAAAGGTATGATGACCTCATTAAGGAGGATGAAGATGGTGAGGGCAAGCATCCATTCTCTTCAGTGTCATGGGGCATTCCGAAACTAGGTGATGATGTTAAAGTTCGCTATCATCGCTATCATCCTCGTCATTTACATCGTCGTCGTCGTCGTCATCATCATTAATAATAATAAAAATAATAATAATAACAATAACAATAAATCATTATCATCACTTGTGGCCAATTTCGTGTGCTAAGGTGAAGGCCAAGTTCAAGCCCGTATCTTCGTTAACGTTACAGCTTCGATAGGGCTGGCACATCCCTTTATTATAATTATAATTTAATTATAGTTATAATTTAATTGTTAATAGTAGTAATAGTAATAGTAATAGCTGCTGTAGTAGTAGTAGCGACAGTAGTAGCAGCAGCAGCAGAGTAGTAGTAGTAGTAGTTGTTGTTTTCGTGATTACCTGAAACATGAGACAGGCCGAGTGTATTGCACGGCTCATTCCGATTCGAACATATGTTGGTTCTTAGGAAATAATTTAATGGAGTTGTAATTATCATCAATAATAATAATAATTATAATAATAATAATAATAATTAAATATTACTATTTATTATAAATATTTTTTTCAAATTTTCAAATAAAATGCAGGAATTGAGCTATTAACCTTGTTAGCAAGACCGCCAAATCATGGCCGTGATGACGGTGACACTGCTGCTGGGGAAGATGATAACAATCATGGTGATGGTGATGATTGTTATTACTATTATTATTGTTGTTATTATTATTATTATTATTATTATTATTATTATTATTGTTATTATTATTATTTTTATTGTTAATGACGTCATTTAGGCTGCCATTTTTCAGTTTCTCTTGCCAGAGGCAGAAGCTGGTTAGCGTTTCGTCGGCATGATGGCTTATAGTTAAGTTCTTCTAGAAATTATGAAATAATAATTATAATTATAGTTATAATTATAGATGTAATTATAACGA